AGAAAAAAAGGAAGAAAAACGTTTAGAAAAGAATAACAATTTTATATTTAAAAAAAAAGTCAAAAAGATTAAAAAGAAAAAGTTGAAAAGTTGAATAAAGAGAAAGTGAAAAGGTTAAAAAAGAAAAGAAAAGGTGGAGCATAAAGCCCATGAAAAAATATATTTATTATTATATATATGTTGAGTTAATCGATCGATAGAGTTGGCAAAGAGGAGGGTGAATTGGCAAATAAAACTTTGGTGGAAGCTTTGCAGAAAATTGAAAAGATTTGCACAACGATTTAGAGTGGTTCGACTTTCTCAACCAAAGTCTACATCCACTACCTTAGCTATTCACACTAAGGATTTTCCACAAATTCACTAATTTGTCTTTCTTTTGAGGACAAAGAGTAACCTCACAAATCCCTCAAGAATTATACTCCAAATTCTTGAGCACACTCTTTTTCAAAGAGAAATACACAAATTTGCAAACTTACAAGGAAAACCTCACAAGGTAGATTGTTTGCACAATTCTAGAACAAAGAAAGAACACTCAAGGATAAATACAATAGAGCACAAATGGTGTTCTTGAAAGCACAATGAATATTGAATGAAAAATAGGCTTGAAGTGCTCAAACAATGAGTTTGATGCTTTCTCTTTGATTCTCTCTCAATTCTTGATAATTGTTGTTTCTTGTTTTTGATCAATGGCTTCTAAGCTTGTTTAAATACACCTTTAAATGGTTCTGAACGTTGGGGATGAATAGTGGAGTCAATAGAGCCGTTTTAGTGTGAAATCAATTAATAAAATAGCTTGGGGTTTGGGGGGAATCGGTACCCCCTCATGGGAAATCGGTTCCCTAAGTGTAAAATTCAAATATTTCGACCATTGAACAGGGGGAATCGGTACCCCCTTGGGGGGAATCGGTTCCCTCTGAGCATTCTGTTTTTCTCGGAGCCAAACCATTCAGGGGGAATCGGTACCCCTTGGGGGGGAATCAGTTCCCTCTGAGCAATCTGAAATTTTTTGCTTTAAAATGGTTCGAAATATTTTGTAAAATTGTTTTGAAATTATTTTAAGTTTAAAACTTAATTTTACACTTGAGTAAGGATTAAAAATGACATTTGAAAGATTTGAAGTAATATTTTGATATTCGAATAATTATATCGAATATACTTAGAAAATCTTTTGGAAAATCTTAAAATTCATTTATCTTAATTTTTTATATCGAAATATCAAAATGTTTTCAACAATATATATAAATAAAAAATGTTTAAAATAATAATCAAAAGAAATAAACTAATATATATATATATATATATATATATATATATTAATGTTAAATTACATAAACAAAAGAAATAAATACATATATATACATATAATAATAATAATAATAATAGAAAAAATAATAAAAAAATATAAATATATTAGATTAAATAAAATAAATAAAAGAAAAAAAAGAAATTAATTGCAAAAAAAAGAACATGTATATACAAAGGATTAAAACGATCAACATAAAAAAATATACAATTAAATTATAAATACAATAAAGAACAATGACCTATGCTTAAATAAAACTATAAATTAAAGATAAATAGGGATGAAAATACAACTAAAAAACATAAGCGATCAAAATAGAATATATTAAAAGTTTCCTTCATGACTGAAATAAAATGATATAAACATAGAAGGACTCTGAATATAATTTACCCATAATCAAAAATGCTGCTTTGATCCTTCTCAATACGGCGCCGTTTTGATGGCGCAATATAAGGCTGGAAAACACGCCAAAAACATGCCTCAACTCTTATTTGTGCTTCTCTTCTGTGTGAGTGAAAGAGAAATTGAGAGAGTTCCAGATAGGGATGGCAAAAAAACCCGAACCCGATTGGGAAAATCAAAAACTGAATTAAATGGGTCGGGTTCGGGGATGATAAACGAGGATGGAAAAAAATTGTTTATGCTAAACGGGGACAGGGATGGGTTTGGTAATCCCCGCCCCGATTACCCGGCCCGTTAAATATTAAAAATAATTATTTTATATATATATATATAATATTAATAAATTTAAATTAATTTAAATTAAAAAATATATATAATTTTTATATATTTAATTTAAATATATATACCCGGCCCGAAACCCGACCCGATACCCGTTAAAATAATCGTTTATGCTAAACGGGGATACCCGTTTCCCCACTGTTTTCCCCGATTACCCGATGGGGATCCCCGTTTAAATCCCCGCAGTTTTTTAAGCGGGGACGGGTACGGCTTTTTTAAACGAGGACGGGGACGGGGACGGGGATGGGGGGACCAATACCCGGCCCGTTGCCATCCCTAGTTCCAGAGAGCTCTCAAAATTGACGGGTAACCGCTTTAGCGGCCGCCCCTGACCAGCGGCGACCGTCGTTTGCCGACGTCGGAGGAGGAAACAAATGATATCACCCGAATAGTTTTTTTAGCCCGGAGTCCATATTTGAGCTTCGTTTGACCTAAAATGGGTTCAAACGATGTAGATTTACAAAGGAACCCCTCGGTTCCTTCGATTCCGACAACCCTTGGAGTTCCGGCTTTGAACGAAAGGTAAGGTTTTTTCCTCGTTTATTTTGGCTCTCTCCTTGATATTTTTCAACCTCGAATGCTCTTTACTTTTCTCCATTTTCCTTTTTTTTTGTGGTTTGATCCCCCATTCGAATGCCCTATTACATGTGTATTTATAGTGCTCCAAAAACCCCCTTTTTCAGTTTGATTTAGAGTCATACTTTGACTCAAAATGCCCCTTTATTTTCGGTTTTAGAGTTCCATATGCATTGAACTTCTTTGGTTGGTTGTTTGTTTTCATGACGTTGGTGCCGAGGACTCGCCGGGAAACTCGGTCACTTGGTTCGTGCGGCGCGAGAAGAGGCGGCTGAAGGAGAGAAGAGAAAGCTAGGGTTTTGTACAAACCCTAATTTGCACCAGGTCATGGGGCCGATTCGGGTTCTGATGGGCCACTGTTGTAATGTGCCTGTAAAGAGGAAATGCATTATTTTAAATGAAATGTATAATATAATGTATATATATATATATAATATGTATTTGGACGAAAATCAATGTCCACAGTTAATATATTATATTTCTTCATATTACATATTAATTTTGTAATTGTTAATATTCGATCTCACCCCATAAATGTAAGATCACATTTTATTTCTTAGACTTTCATGGTCTGAGAGAATCTTGCAATTTGGGATAATATCTAATTATCAACCTCCTAGTTATTTAACATGATATTCAATCAGAGTGATAATAAGTAAAAAGATTGGAAATATACACATGCATGAATTAATTTAACTATTGAACATGATATATTGATAGAGATGGATGTAGGTCATATATAACAATCTTCCAAGAAGTCTGATACAAAGCTACATCATCCATGGCCTCATCCCCATTAGAAAGTTATAAACTTGCATCATACTCTAACGAAGTCATTCTCTTTTTAATACCAATAAAATACTTGAAAATGCATAAATCTTTTATTTATTCAAAATAACCTTGAGCTCATTTACAATACCACAATCACTATAGATGTTCAAAACATCATCGACATATATTAACATAGTCATTAACTTATTACATAATAATAATAATATAATAAGATTAATATACAGTTGATTAATGATAAAGTATTTTCAATAGACAAAGATATCAAGTTAATGTATATATGCATGTTAGAAAACATCGTGCTGAATTAACCCATTATAGGAATGCTTTTAGGATTAGTATATAACGGTCACAACAATTATCATAATGATTTAAGAACAACAATATTATCACTTCTTAATTTAAGAAGATTTAGTCATATCATTCATTCAAATAACTAGGGTGTGTTATATTTTTTTCTCTCTTTTTTTATAATCGTTGTTAGTCTCTTTTCTTTTTTATCTTTGTGATCGACGTCGACACCAGTCTTAGTACTGATTGCCGACCATTGATATTCATCATTTTTCATTTGCTTTACTATAGGGTATATTTGTTTTTTTATTCTTCATAATTCTGCATTTTTGGCACGTATTCTTCTTTTTTTTAGTATGTTTTTCTCTGTCTCTATGACACGTTTTTGGTTGTTTGGTCGTTGTTTTTGTTTTATTTTTAGGGTTGGTTTTGATATTGCCACGACTGATCAATATGACGTTTATTTGTTATCATGATGATATTCCTGTTATATGTTTAATTTACAGTTGTGGTTGTAAATCTTTATTGTAATTTTAATATTTTCTATTTTTAATGGAATCATTTTTAATAAAATTAGAGGATTCCATTAAAAAAACCATAACATTCTAGTGTAATCAATGAAAAATTGTTTAAAAATTATATATACAAGATGGATCGAAGGGAGACATGTGGGGATAGTCATGCTTGAAAATTTTAAAATATTAAATATTTTAGATATTTTCTTTGAGAAATATATTTTAACTCTTTGAGAATATTATAAGTTTATCCCTTCCTAAAATTTTAAAAGTTTGCTCTCTTAGCATAAAATTTTGTGCCTGTCCCTATATATATATTAATAAATTTAATCATTTAAAATAAATTAAAAGCATTAAAAAAAGACAAATGATTCGTTCCAAAAAATAAGTACTATTGACTTGTATAGTATAGGTGTGTCTCGAAAACTAATACACTCAATTTCAATGTTTTTATTTTGTTAAATTATTCTTAAAATATAGATGAGGAAAGTAATAAATTTATGTATTCAAAAGTTAATGATACAACATTACCTAAGTGGTGCTTAAAAGTTGAGTTGTTAAATGCAAGAATTGAATGTGATATTTAAAAGTAGAGCTTCATATAAGCTTAATTAATGATAGGAAGAAAAATAGTTTGTTTGTTGGCCCTCATGACTTTACCCTGTTTCACAAGGTCAAACAAAACTCATCTAACATGCCAACTTCATAACACAGACATCAACCTCTCCTCCTCCTCCTCCTCCTCCTCCTCCTCCTCCTCCTCCTCCTCCTCCTCCTCTCTGAAAATTGTCTATTGCACCTCTTACTTCAAATAGAACCAAAAAAAGATTATGCCGTGCAGAAACATGCTCTCCCTTTACATGGAAGCAAGAAGCTCTCTCATTTCGTTCACCGACGGGATGGTTTCCGAGGGGTAAATTTTAGCACAAAGCTGGGCAAAGCTATCATACTTTTCCAGAAACTCCTTCTGTCAAATATGTAAGATATAAAACTTGTTAGAAACTGGTAATGTATCACTAAATCAGCACCTATGAAATTCAAGCAACCTCAAAACTTCCTCTTCCCTTAGTCCCGGCAACTCATCCGGGATTTTGCATTGCTCTTTCTCGTAGCATTCATCGATGATCCGCATCGCGCTCCGTTAACTACTTCGGCAAAGTTACTAAAGCCTTGTGCAGTTTTTGGAAATAGAAGTTAGCTTACCTTGCACTTGTCCCACAAAGAAGGTAACAATTCCTCGGAGGTCAAGTTCTTCTGCAACTTCTTATACATTGCAGCAATAGACTTGTCAACCTGTCAAAGACAAGTCAAGATATTGATTTCATCAATTTAAACCATGCTTACCATCTTCCTAAAATTGTTCATCAACTCACCCCGGATAAACTGGATTTTAACGTCTTCCGGAGATCCATTTTAGACAATCCAAGCTGGAAAGGTATCTGAAATTTGTGATGGACAGAATTATTCATTTGTTAGCAATTCACAGAAGTCTGAAGAAAATTTTGGCACTAATGTCATTATAGAAAAAAAAAATTGATTCAATTTTTATCAAAGGATTCTCTAGCCATGTCTAAAGAGGGGACGTGAATACCATCCACATCAAAGCCTTGATACTTATCAAAAACTATCTGATGAAACTTGATGCATAAATTAAGAACTCGCAAAATACTATCATTAGCATGATGTTAACCTCTTCTGGTGGAATAGTAAACATTAAATCCTCAATCTTTTTAGCAAACATGAAAAGTCGTTCAAATTGCTGCAAAAATGAAACAAATATTAAAAACTGTGTCATAAACATAAAACGTTCCAGTATTTCCACAATGACATAGAATCACTGCTTAACAGTAATGAATAAAACAAAGAAAAAGCCACCAAGGTGGGTCACTTACAAAGTATATTATCATGCTGAGATGACGTTGGCATGCTTGTTCATATGCTTCACTTGCTTGGTGATAAAATTTGGCCAAAGTCTGTACAACATTGGCCAGGTCATATAAGCTGTAACACGAAAGAAGAGGAAAAGATAATTGCCATCAAGGAAGCAGGAGAAATATTGTATCCAGTCAATCATGGGAAAGAAGATACAGACCTGTTCTGAAATGCGGCATAGTTTTCTAGAAGAAATACTTCAGCATATTTTGGTTCAGTTTGGGCAAGTTTTTCAAGAGTCACAAACATAATGGTAACCTGCCAAACAATATTTCCTATGTGAATATTTTTTTCAGTGACAGAGACATATTCAGAAGATATAACATAGAAAGAAAATGGAGCCAATTGAATCATTTTTTACGATGCTGATAAAACTGTATCGTCCACCACTAGTTCACTTAAACACATTATAAAATTAATCAAAAATAAAAAGGACGTCAGCAGGGATGGACCAAGGGGGCTGGCGAGGATGGTCATCCCCTCTGAAAATTTCAAGTTCTCATATAATTTATATTTTTCTTGATATTTTCTATTGATAATTTGTTTTCGCTCCCAACATAAAATCATACATTTATCCCTGGACACCAGGCTCAAAATAGGACTTACAAATTTGGTGTATGCGAGATCAACCAAGTCCCTAGATTATATCAGAATATATGAACAGTTTAAAATCGAGGTTCAACCTTATGAGCAAGTAAATAATAAAGCATCGCCTAAGGACACTAATTGAAATCTATTATATCATTAATTGAAATCTATTATATCATTTTTTTCCCCTTTGCCGTTTTATCAACTTGGTTGCAAAATTGCAATCTCTGAATTCTCAGAAAAGCATTCACTTTACCGAGGGATGTATGGTAAGACCCCCATCTGTCGAGTATTACGCTCACTTCTTTCAATTTGATGACAAGCCTCGTCAACAAACTACAAATTTAGTTGCAGCTTAAACATGTTAGATTCATGCAAAATGCAAAAGGATAATAAAATCTTCAGTTCCCAAATGAAGTTTTTGCGGTATTGCCTTATGGATTGAAGTTTTTATCTTGACTCCAACAATCCTTCTTTAAGTGACACTTCTTTCCACAGTTGTAGCACTTTAAATTATTCTTGCTTCTCGACTTTGATCTACCATGTTTGTGACTGCTGCTTTGACCATGTTCTGTTGATCTCCCTCTCATCGTTGTCAATATTTCTGCTTGTTGCAAATTTACTTGTATGCCTTCCTTGTTCTTGCGTCGATTTTCTTTTGTAGAACATCAGCTGCAACGTCATCGAATACTAGACTAGTAATATTACTGTTTATCAAGTTGATGAGTTGATCATACGAATCAAGTAGACTTTAAAATAGAAGTTCAGCACGTTTTTGTTCTCCTATTGTACATCTTAAGGATGTAAGTTGAGAAAATAAAGTGTTCAGTGTGTTTAAGTGCTCCGTCACTGAAGTAGATTTTGGCATCCGGAGAGTATACAATTTCCTATTAAGGAAAATTTTATTGTGCAACGATGTGGCATCGTACAATTTGGTGAGATGATCTCATATCTCCTTAGCTGTTTTTTTCTCCTTGATGTTTGACAATACTTCATCTGTTAATGCTAGATGAAAGTTTGCCATAATATTCTCGTCCACTTCTATCAATTTGTTGTTATCTGTGAAATCTATCGATCTTCCACTGATAGCTGCTAGACAACCGTTTTTCCTCAGGATGGTCTTCATCTTTAATTTTCACAATGAGAAATTTTTCCTATTTAACTTTTCAATATCAAATTCCACTGTCATAGCTTCTAATACAAATAGCTTTCACTATTTCACTATCTTGAATAGTTCTCTGGAACCTTAAAAAAAATAGGTAATACATTATTGCTTTCTTATGTTAGAGAATCCACCTTTTAGTGGCAACCACAAAGACAATAAGTAGATATTACACATATTAATCTGGCTCTGATATCAATTGTTACGAAATACGACTATCGAATAAAGCAAAATTGCAACTGATAATTTGAGAAAATAAAAATGAAGATAAAGAAGACACAAATTTTACGTGGAAAACCCCTAAATAATATAAGGTAAAAATAACGGGCAGCGGTAGAAGAATTTCACTATGAGAAAATAGGAATTACAACTTCTCTCGTTCTAACAAGGAGAAAACAATAATAATTCTCTCTTGATAAAAAAGAGAAAACAACTCTCAAGAAAACTTTTTAAATTCTCTAGTATTGAGAGAAAGCTAGAATGATATGGAATGATTTTGAAACTAAATGAATTAAGGTATTTATAATTAAAGCTTAAAGATTAATTTATAAATACTCTAAAATTCAGGAACTAAATATTCGCACCATGTGTGTTCTGTTTTGTTTTCTAAAACCAAACCATAAAAGCTCGTCTTTTAAGGCTTCTATCTAAAAAAACTCCACTTAGTCTCATCTATTCAAAATCCCCATGGTACGAATATTTCCATGGTCTTTAATCACTATTTTGGTTTGCTTTTGCCTTCCTATGATCATGAATAATTAAAACCAGTCTTGTACATGAACTGTATAATTCTTATTGTTAATAGATTCCAATTTCTGGGTTTTCCTTTTGTCATTTGTTAATCATCTGAGTTTTGAGTTTGCAGATCTGTGTGGTTAGAGCAAATGTAAGATTCATGCAAAGACTGTAGGAACTGGGAAGAGGAAATCTTTTGGACCCATTTTCAGTCCATTCATTTCTCCCAATTTCTCCATGGTGATTTCCTTTAGCGCTTGGTAAGTTGTGTCTTTGCCAGTTGCCACAACCTCTTCTCTCGCTCTCCATGGTGAGTTTTATTTACCCTTTCTTTGTCCTGTGCTGCAGGAAATACCGGAAAATTTTCTAAAAATGTCAAGAAAAGGCTTCCAGAAACTGTGACTCTTAAAGGTCCCAGTGGTGTCATATGGGATGTAGGACTGACAGCAGATGATGATGTCTTGTTCTTCGATGGCGGATGGACAACTTTTGTAAAAGACCATTCGTTGATCGACAATGACTTTTTGATCTTCAAATACAATGGGGTGTCTCATTTCGACGTTCTCATGTTTGATGGCAAGAGCTTGTGTGAGAAACCATCTTCTTATTTTGTGAGGAAGTGTATGCATACGGAATCCCACTGTAGACACCAAACCAAAAGGAAAGCGAGTGAAAATCATGATGAAACTCTTCTCGGTGTGACCTTGAAAGCAGTCCGGAAAAATCCACCAACAATGACACCGACGCCAGGCCATCCACGAAAGCTATGGAGTACGCGACTAGTAATAATAAGAAGAAAATCCAAAATTCGGATTCTGGTACTCGGTCCATCATGACAAAGAGGAGCCTTAGAGGCAAACAACCTTCTACTTTTCCTGTAGGAGTGAAGGTCGAAAGACTCGAAACTGGTAGGAGCACTTGGAAGACGTAATTCTAAACATAAAACCTGCGTTCCATGGTTGAATTTGTTAAATTATTATACTAGTAGCTAGGTATGGTAGGGGAATAACTTATAAAATTTTAGGGGTAAAAATAGGTTAGAAAATATCTAAAATATATGAGAAGAACCTGTCACCTAATGTTATGATCACTCCCTATGCATGACTTGCTTCGTAGCTCGAATTGGGTGAATGATAATTGTACTCTCTTTTCAGCCTTAAGATGCGCATGATTCAGAGTATGAACATACAACAGAGTATGAACATACGACAACAGATGGCGATGCCTTCGGCTCATTGTGGCATGTAACAGGTAAAAGGGTTGCGACCCGAGCTGAGAAAATGAACATCCTTTTTAAGGCACAAGAAGCAGTAACCGATTAATGTTTTATGGTAGTTATGAATCCTACACATGTTGACATAAATTTTTATATGGTAAACTTAATCCCGAGCTCGATCTTGATTATGGTTTTTGTGTATACATTGTTTATCCAATCAAGTTAGACAATGATATTAAAGCTCAGCCATGTTTATTGTCTTCCTTTTCGGATTTTTGCAGTTATTAGGATATATCAGCTTGATGTATTAGCTTGCATTGTTGTTTGCAATTAGTTAGTTATCAGTTAGCTCAGTTAGTTCAAGTTAGTTTATTAGTTAGCTGATTAGTTAGTTGTTGTAATTCAGTTTTTTGGTTAATCTTATGGTTGTATATAAACCAGCCATGTAATTCTTCTTGTGAATAAGAACAAGCATTATTCATTTGCACCACTCTTGATCGTTATATGGTATCAAAAGTTTTGTGTCCATCTTCTCACACTTCATCATGGCTGAATCACTAAATGATAGTTTCGACAATGAGGCAAATCCTTATTACTTGCACCAGTCTGATAATCATGGCATGATATTAGTAAGCCAGTTGCTTTCCAATGATAATTTTCACAGCTGGAAAAGATCAATGATGCTCACCTTATCTGCCAAGAACAAACTCGATTTCATTGATGGTTTCATTCAAGCTCCTGGCCCATCTATGGTAAACCAATTCAATGCTTGGACACGAGCCAACAATCTGGTCAATTCTTGGCTCCTTAATTCAGTCTCCAAAGACATTGCTGTCAGTTTACTATACCATACGACTGCTACTGAAATATGGAAAGATTTGGTCGATCGTTTCCAGCAATCGAATGGACCACGTTTGTTTCACTTAAAGAAACGATTGTGTGAACTCACGCAAGATAAACTGTCAGTAAGCAATTACTATACTCAGTTAAAAATTGTTTGGGATGAGTTGTTTTCAATTCGACAGTTATGTAGTTGTCTCCAGTGCAATTATTGAGGAGTACAACGCGTGCTTGCTAAACAGCAGCAAGAACAAGTTATTCAATTCCTAATGGGGCTAAATGAATCTTATGCTCATATAAGGGGACAAATTCTTTTAATGGATCCTCTTCCTCCCATTTCAAAAGTTGTTTCTTTAATTGTTCAATAAGAGAATCAAAGAAACATGCAATCTCTTCATCCTATTTCTAAGCCTGCCTTTGCTGTCAAAGCTCATCCTAACACCAACACTCGCAAGAACAAACCCTTGTGCAGTCATTGTAACCTCCTTGGTCATACAAAGGACATATGTTATAAATTGATTGGTTATCCACCTGGTTATAACTCCAAGAATTGGTATTCTTCGAATTCTTCTCGTGGTAAAAATTCTCAAGTCATCCATACCAATTCTGTGGTTTCTCAATAAGGCTCTTCCACTATCACTGAAGCCTTTACTCTTGAACAATGTCAACATTTGATTGCCATGCTTACCTCTTAGCTACAATCTACATCCTCTTTGGACATTCCTACTACTTCAATCAATACTGCTATGCAAGGTAAGATCATATCACACATAACTGCTTCAAATGCTGGAATATCTGATTACTGGATTTTAG